GTTGAGGTGGCCTCGTTTCTTTGAACTGAAGAGACTCAAGAGACGAGGGGCCTTCGCCAAAGACCCGAGTTGTAGTCCACTGAGCCCCGACTCTGGCCAGGCGTCTGCGGGCAGAACCTGCCGGACCCAGTCCAGAGCCGGGCTGGGCGGCGGAGGGCGAGGGAAGGTAAGATTTAGAAGAGAACCCCTTCCAGGACCCCCACAGGCACTGGGTCCCCTCTGGATGACGGTTAGGGGCTCCAGAGTCTTCACCCGAACCCTGTCTCCCCAGACTTTTGATGATGGGGGCTTAGGGTCTCGTGACCCCAGCGGATCCTGGACAAAGCCCCCACCCCTCCGAGAGCTATACCTCACACACCCCAGTCAGCGTCTGGAAGCCAAGGAGGCATCAGAAAGGGTTTGCACTTGCTCTGTGACCTTCCTTACTATCCCGGGGCCTCAGCTTTCACCTGTAGAGTGAGCCCAATCTCCACCCCTCTCCCCGTACACACACTCTAGGGGTCCGTGCCAGGATTTAAGGAGTATGGCCGCTCTGGCGCACAGCAGGTCTCAATACACAGACGGCTGTTATTTTTGCCAGCTTCTTCAGTCTCCTTGAGGGCAGGGAGAGTCCTGCCTTTGAGCCCTGCTCCCCCGCCCCCACCCCAGGCCTTCCTCCTAGGCCTTCTTGGGTCCAGGAAGTTCTTCCTAGGTCTGCCCCAAGTCCTCTCCTTCCTTCCAGGCCCGCGTTGGGAGGGTGGGGGCCACGGCGGGGAGTTCCCTTTAAGGAAGGTGGGGGAGGGGGCTGCTGGCCGGTCCTCCTTCCGCCCCTCCCTGGGCCCCGCGGGCCGGGGCTCAGGGCCAGGGCCCCGCGCCAGCGCATGCGCCCGCCTGTGGGCGCTGTCCGGCCTGCGAGAGCGGTGCGCACCGACAGCCGGACGGACGGGCTGCCTGGCGGCTGGTCGGACAGACGGGGCAGCGCAGGGAGCTGGGACGCGGCGGGACAGCGACATGGCCGGCCACACGCAGCAGCCGAGCGGGCGCGGGAACCCGGGCCCTGCTCCCTCGCCTTCCCCTGGCCCGGGCCCCGGGCCCGGCGCCTCGGAGCGGGTGGCGCTCAAGAAGGAGATCGGGCTGGTGAGCGCCTGCACCATCATCATCGGTGAGCGGGCGCGGGGCGGGCGGATGCCCGGGGCGGGCGGGCCTAAGGCGCGCAGCGGCTCGGAACAAGGAGCACCCCTCTCCGGGCGCGCCTACCGGTCTGAGACGGTGGAACGTGGATGAGGGGATGCCCGCCCGGGGCACCTGCGGTGTCTCCCCTCACACAGCAGCCACAGGGCTTCTTGCTTCCACCTCCCCAAGTGCCCCGAATTTTTGCACTTGAAGGAGGTGCAGGTCCCATCCACCGCGGGAATCCTCCTCCCGCCTTTACTTTGCCATGGACTTCCGCAAGGCAGTTACCCTCAGTCTTCTCGTCTGTAGCATGGAGATGGCTGTGGTCCTGCCTTGAGTGCGGGGGTCTTGCAAGTGTGGGAACTCGGTAAGCTGACCCCCGCTAAGGCCCCAAGTTCTGGGTCTTGTGGCTTAAACTGAGTTCCTACTGTGTGCAGGGTCTAGGTGCCGTGCCGTGTGAATGATTTATTCTTCTCAAGCAGGAGGGACTGTGGGTAGCCTGGACAGGTAGAGCCAGCCCAGAGGGGAAATCGGTTCAGAGTATATAATTAGTGCAGAATTCTGCAGCAGGACCCTGGCAGAGGCGGAGGAGCAGCCAGTGACTGGGGGAGGCCCAGTTTGGGTGGGCAGACCCAGCCTGCGAAAGGCCAGCTGCTTCCTGGGCTGGGATCCCATCTGCGTCCTCTCACTCTCTAGCCCGGCTTCCCCACCTGAGAATGAGTCTGTGCATCCTTCCCCCACTTGGGGACTTCTGGGTAGGCAGAGGGCTCAGGGCACAGTGAGAGCAGTGGTGGGGTTTTCCTCCTTCTGTCCCCAGTCAAGAACACTGATGCCTCAGGAACTGGCTAACCCAGACCTGTGCCTGTATCCACACCAGGTGCCTCAGAGACCGTGGTGGGAGGAGTCTGTTCCGGCTCCTGTCTCCCAGGAGACACAGCCTGGAAGGATGAATGGCAAGGGTCTTGACCACTCTCACTTTACCAACTGCCCAGTCTTCCCCTCCCCAGCCAGTGGGTGCTGCTTGTGCATTCACTGCCCACCCATCCTCAGACCCTTGGAGATGGAAAAAGTTGGGGGCTCAGGAGGGCAGACTGGTGTCTTCACCTCCTCCTCCTCTGCCCCCACACTGGGAGCTCCTGGGCCAAGGTTGGGGTCTAGATCTTGGCCACCCCCTGCACTCGCACTGAGAATTGCCCCAGCACACAGCCCCTGTGCAGGTACCTCTCTGTCTCACCCACTTGCACCTGGAAAGGTGTCTTCTAGGAGCTGGTCCCGATCTGGTCCAGAGACCTTCTTGGACAAGAGTGCCCCTGCTTGACTGCTGAGAGGAAGGGCTGGTTCCAGGGATTTGGCCAGGGTACTGGTTAGAGCTTTGCCCTAGCCCACACCCTCTCCAAGAGCTGTGCCTTCAGGAAGAGGAAGCCCATACATCATGGGTGGGCCTTGGGGTCAAGAGGCTGACTGTGTCTGGAGCCAGCTGCAGTGCCCGACAGGTGCAGGGAGAGACGTGGTACTTGCTGGGCTGCCTCAGCTAAACCCAGCACCCTCGAGCTGTATTCCTACTCTTTCTCCTCCCTGCCTCCCATCCCCCTCAGGTCAGGCAGAGGCTGCTGGCTCCTCTCTCCTCAAAAGAGGGCCCTGGTGGTGATGGTGGGAGTGGATGAGGCTAATTCTGCAAGACTTTTTCTGTGCAGCACAGCTCTGCCCTTACAGCTCCCCCACTTTTCATACCATTTTTACTGTTCCAGGTCCACTGCCCCCTTGGCTTCAGGCCTTGAAGACTGAGCTGGGGTTAGGAGTGACTTAGCCAAGAGTGGCGGACTCAGGAACAGAACCCAGATGACCTGACTCCAGCCCAGGACACTCAGGGGTGGTCCTACAAGCCTGCCTGGGGAGCTTTGAGGGGTTTCAGCAGACAGGAGGCTGGACTGGGCAGGAGACAGACAAGGGGAGAATGGACCTGGTCCAGAAGGTGACAGATGACGGAGGAGGCAGGGGTCGGCTGAATCACTGCACTGCCCTCCCCAGCCTGATGCCCTGAAGGCCCCTACTTCCTCCCCTTTCACTGTTCCGGTAGCCCGGACTCCCACATCTTTCCCCACTTTCCTGCCCTGGGGAGCCTGGTCAAAGTAAAAAATGTCTGCCAAGTGTCATAGTTTAGCCTTAAAAGTCTTGAAAACTTTATAGCTTCATCCATAATCTTTCTTGTTTGATAGCAGCTTATTATCTCCAAAACTTCCAAATAGACCCTCCCAGAAGATCCGATAATTCTCTCCCTTTGTAACCCCTGCCCCAGGCTGAGGAGTAGGAATGGAATGACATAAAAGGGCTTTGAGCTAGAACAAGACTCCACCTAAAATGTGTTTAGGACAGCACCTGCTGGCTACAGCAAGCACAACTGGAGGGGAACGGGCCAGCCTGGAGGAAAAAGAGCCTTCTGGGGCAGACACTGCGCAAGACATCACCACATCCAATGCCTATTCAGAAAAACACACCTTACCACATTATGAAAACATGTTCTCCCTTTATCTCATTTGATTGCCTGCCTTGCAAGATGGGAATTTTTATACCCATTTTACAGATGTAGAAACTGAGGTTGGAAGTTAAATGACAATGCTGCAAGTGGTGGACTCGGAATTTGGAACCAGAATTGGACTCTTCTCCCAGTCCAGTGCCTTTCTTCACACTGCTCTGGTGCAGGGCAAAATTGGGGCCAGATGCAGAGCCCATGATGGGGGAAGGTTGAGGACTGAGCTGGGAGCTCATCCAACCGGGATTTAGTGAGCTCGCCACTCTACTATGGGTAGATGAACAAACAGGTGGACAGAGAAATAGCCTCTGACTCCCCCACCCCCACCCAGGGCTGTATGTACAGGGTCTCTTGTCCTGACTCAGGGACCACAACCAGCTCCCTCCCCATCCACACCCAAGGAAGGGTCGTGCCCAGGTTCAGCAGAGTGGGAATCAGCCAGGTCTACTGACCAGACTGTCCTGTCCTTCGCTCTCTCCCTTTGACTCAAATATCCAGCCCATGTTTGTGGATCAGGTTCAAGTATGTTCTAGAACTCAGGGACCTCCTTCATGAACCCTGTCTCCTTAGGAGCCAGTCTCTACTCATCCAGCCATGGCCAGGTCCCTCCGTTGTCTCTGGGGCTGGAGGTGCTGGGCTGCTCAGAGGATAGCCCTCTCCAGAACCCCAACCCATCCTCCCCGGGACCCTGAGGGGACATAAAACCACACAGGACGCTGTCTGTACCTCACCATAGCCCCAATTTACAGATGAGGAAACTGGGGACCTGAGGCTGCAACCAGCCCAGGGTCAGATGCCCTTGGTGTGCTCTAAGACACCGTTGGGGGCTGAAGCAGCTCTGGCTACAAGGATGGGGCCTGCTAGCTCTGGTCACGCTCATTCATCTATTCAACAGGTAGGTACTGGATAGTGCTGGGCACTGTTCTAGGTGCTGGAGACATAAGAGGGAACAAGACAGACAAAATCCCTGTCCTCCTGGAGCTGACATTCCAGCATGGGAGCCAAAGAGCAAACAGATAAGCAAGCTGAATATTTAGCTGCCAGGGTAATGATAAGCACTAAGGTGAGAAAATGAAGGAGGGAGGATTGTAGGTAGGAGATGAGTCAGGAGTGAGATGGGGTGCAGTCTGTGTAGGCCTTGCAGCCGCAGTAAAGACTTCGCCTTCTTCTCTTTGTCAGGTGGGAGCCTGGGAGGGCTTTGGGCAGAAGAGGGATGGCATGGGGTAGGATGGGATGGTATGGCAGGGGATGGGATGGGATGGGATGTGTTGCGATGGGATGGCATGGGGCGGGATGAGATGGGATGGGATGGTGTGGGGTGGGATGGGATGGGGTGGCACGGCATGGCATGGCCTGGGGCTTACTGTGGAGAAGAGGCTGTGGGCAGAAGAGGCAGAAGCTGGAAGCCCAGTCGAGAGGGTACTTGAGTCACCTGGGTAAGAGATGATGGTGGTTCAGAGCAGCGTGGCAGCAGTGGAGGTGCTGAGAGGAGGTTCAGTCCTAGGTGTGTTTGGGAGATTGAGCCAAATGTGTTGAACTGGACACAAGGTATAGCAGAGTGGAGTCTGGGTGACAGCAGGTTGGGGCCTGCACAGCTCGGGGCATGGTTTGCCATTAATTGACCTGGGAAGACTGTGAGATGAGCAGGTCCAGGGGAGAGAGTTCCACTCTCCTGCTCACCCCTCTCTCAAACGGAAAGTGGGTTAGGCCGGAGGCGCACGCTGACCAATTGGCAATACCAGGCATGTCCTGGAAACGTCCCCACTCACCTCCCTGGAGTTCTGCCAACACCTCAGCGGGCACTGCTATCCCCCTAGAGGGGTGCCTGACATGCTCACCGTAAGGACACTGTGCTGGGAGTCACAGGCTTCACCCAGAGCAATAGCAGGGCCCCCAAAGCAGGGCTCTGGCCGCTGACCCCAGGGTGTTGAGGTCCCAAAGTGCTCAGATCCAAGGGCCAGCTTCGGTGGCCTGGGGTGTTTCCAAGGTAGATGACAATAGTGAGACCCATAAGCACTTCCTGGGGCCTCTGATGTAGCAGGCAATGTGGGAACAGACCCACATCACTGCCTCATCTCCCCATCTTACAGATAAGAAGGTTCAGAGAGTGAAGTACCTTGTCCACAGCCTCCCATCATGAGGGATCTGGGATTCAAACCCAGATGTAGGGGTTCTTAACTAATAATTGGCCCTGCCCATGGCCTCAGGGGCCTTGGGACTTACCAACGGGGATTTGGAGCTCTTCCCCAGAGCCCTCATGGGTCACATCCTAACAGGGAGGTGCTGGGACTCATTGCCCAGGGCAAGAGGAGGAGGCCTGGCCTGTGGCCAGCCCCTGATCAGACCCAGGAGCCCTGAGCTACTCTCTCCCAGGCCAGCAGGCCAGCGTGGCAGGAGGAGGCCCCGCCATGGCCCTGCTCGCTGAAGAGGCAGGCAATAGGCCAGGTACGTGTAAGGGGACCTAGGCCCCGGGGGTTCCCTGTCCTTCTAGGGGGCTTGGGCTTCTCATCTCAGCAGGCCAGGGCACAGACCCCACCCTCTGGGAATGCAGGGTCCACCCAGGATGGCAAATAAAGGAGTCACTTCCTGGCCATACTCCAGGTACCATGGGAGAGGAGCAGGGGCCAGGTTATAGGAATCAAGATGGGAGATCAGGGAGGGCTTCCTGGGGGTGGCGTTGCTTCTGGGAAGCCATTGAGCTGCGGAGAGACCTGCCGCAATGCGGGACAGAGGGCTCCAAGCAGAAACTGTGTTTCCTCGGACCCCGTGCAGATGTGCAGGACACGTCCCTCCTGCCCAGCAGTGCCTCAGCCAAAGTCAGTGCTGCACCAGCCCTCTGCTGCCCCCTAGCTCAGTGGTCCTTCCTGGCACAAGGGGAAACTGAGGCCCAGGGAGCAGCACGGGCCTGAGGTCACACAACAGACTCCTGAAAGTGTTCTAGGGATGAGGGGTGGTGCCAGCAGCCTGACAGGACGTCCCTGACCCCTCCCCCAGATCCAACTCTGCACGGTCCCCACACACACACGGTGGGCAGCTGGCCCCTTCCACCCACACGACCTCCGCAGTCCACCCCTGTGACCTCCATGGTCGGCTCATGCCTCCCAGAAATAGGTCAGCGCTCACGGCTGCAGCCGGGGGAACAATGGCTCTTTCTTCGTTCCTTCACGGAGCCGGGTAAGCCCCATCGGGCCACACATCTTAATGTGATAAAAACCACCCAGCTTGGCCTGAGGGAAGAGGGGCGGGAGGAGACTGGAGGGGGGCCCCCTAGTTGAGGGACTCACATCCTCGCCCACCTTCCTTGGAGCTCTGGCCCTGCCAAGGACCTGCAAGGACCACAGAGCAGCCGTCCCACTGGGTGGATGGGAACAGGGAGGTCTCGGAACCCACATTTCTCCAGCCTGCCGTCAATCAGACACCTGACCGGGTGCTCAGCAGTATCTCCCGGCCCATCCCACAGTTTGTGGTTCCCGCCCCCCCTCCTCTTCCTCCAGAGCAGGATGCCCCAAGGGTTGGGCTTGTCCACTGCAGTTCACCCAGTCGGGCAGAGCTGATTCTTCTGGCCCTGAACATGAGGGCTGAGAAGGGAGGCCTGGACCCACCACCAGGAGGCACGGGCAGGCTCGCCTGCAGCACTGCCTTACAGCTCCGTGGTCCCTTCTCCACAGCTCCTGACATCATTCAGTGCTGGAGACGCCCACCCCTGTCCTCAGCAACATCCCTCCTCCTCCCTGCCCGCTGTCCCTCACCCAAGCCTGCTGCCCATCTTGCTCCTTGCAGAGGAGCCCCGTCCAGCCCACACAGTGCCAAGAGCAGCCAGTGGACCTCGATGGGGTTTTCTGCCACCTTCCAGCACAAACCTGAGGCAGATGCTGGAGGCTGTCCAGGCCCAGAGGAAGAGGCCCCCGGAGAGCTCAGAGCCACCTGCTGGCACGTGTGTTCCTTTGAGCCACCCGGGGAGAAGTCCTGCATTGTAGCCTGCAGCCATGTGTCTAAAACAATAGTGATCCTCACCCCGGCCCATCCGTCGAGTCTTCAGCCGCTGGGCACAGACAAGTGATGTGTCCCTTTCAAATCCCAGCCTCGGAGGACGAGGCGCCAGGTGTGGCTTCCCCGAGGGCTACACTCGTGAGGCCCCGTCAGGCTGAGTTGCGTAGGGTGGTGGGCGTCCCCACGAGGTGGGTGGCTCAGGGCCCTGGATGCGCCCAGCTCCTTCCAAGGCCACCCAGCCCCCACTGGCTTCCAACCTCCCTGGCTTTTGGCAAATCCCACTCCACCAGGTCCTGAGAACAGAGGCTCTACTGCTGGATAGAGCAAACGCCAAGGCTCTTTAGAAGCCTAACAGCCCACCCAGGCCCTGGGCCCCGTGGTAGATGAAGGAAGCGGCCCCTCTCTCCCTGGAAGCGAGCTGAGGGCACAGCTTACCTCTGGGGCTGGGAGACAGGAATTCTTTCCTCCTTATCTGGATGTATTTAGGGCTCCTGGGACGTGACTAGAAAACCAAGTGGGGCGTCGTGGCCGTGCAGACTGGAAATCTGTGCCGGCCGGGTGGGGGTGGGGTAGGACTGTGGACAGGGAACGCATGCAGATGGGCCGCCCCAGCCGTGTCCTCGTCCAGACCCGCCTGTGGGCCTGGCAGGTGGAGCAGGCAGGGTCTGCCCTGACGGACATGCGCTCCCACCCCGGGCCCCGGCAGGTGGGGCCAATCTCGTGCAGGGGCTGAGCCCCGGGTCCCAGCAGTGTTGCTTTTTTCTTCATGTGGCCTGTGGGTTCTGGGATTATTTCCTCTTGGGCAGGCCCCAGTCCAAATCACCAGTGATGTGGCCTGATTCATTTGCACAGATGGTGAGACCCGGGTAACGCAGAACATTGCCCACTTTGCCCTAAATGCCAGGGACCTCAGGGCTAAGTGGGTGGTCAGCGTTTTACTCATCCCGGGAACCTGCTCTGCAGCCCACAGCGTGGCCCTCTGAGCGTTTCCCACTGCTCTGCTCCCAGACCCCACGAGTGCCCCACAGTGCCCATCCTTCCAAAACTCAGACTCAGCCCATGGGCAGGCCAGGCTTTCTGTGACCCATGACCTGGCAGATTCCCCTGGCACCCAAGTCTTGGAAGCTAGCCAACCTCTCTGCTACTGCCCACAGTCCCCTTCTGGGGGGGGGTCGAGTGGAGACTGCTGCCCCCCACTTCACAGAGGAGGAGTTCGGTCCTTCAGTGGCATTGGTGCCACTTTGGGCATCGGGCCAGTCACTCATCCTGTAGTTTGCTCAACAGATGTGTATTGAGCACCAACTGTGTGCTGGAGGCCCAAGGTGAGGCCACAGACGGTACACACAGAATCACGCGAAGATGCAAAGGACGTCCGGATACAGCTGTGAATGAGCTGCGGCTTCCCATACAGTACCTCGCTGAATCCTCACGGCAGTCCCATTGTATAGACGGGACTCAAGAGGTTCCCTGCCTCCTGAGCCCCAGCCAGAGTTTCCCACTGTGGTCCTAGGATTAGAGCGGTGACCCCTGTTTGCAACCAGTGAGCTGTTCCCAAGGGAGAGGCATCTGTGTCCAGACCCCAGGCTGAGCCAACTGAGTCCTGCCAGCCTGCCATCATCCACCCCATCCCTTCCGTGATGGCTGCTAAGCAACCCCCAGCCCTGAGAATGCACCAGCTCCTCTCCCTCACCCCACTGACCCTTGCCCAGGACCTGAAACATTTTAACAATGCCAGGAAACCAGGTCTCTTCCGAGTCTGTGTCCACAGCATGGGTCCTAGGTCAGGGAGGAGCCCAGCGGGCAAAGGGCTCTCTAATAGGGAAAGAGGAGATGGAAGGTAAAGAAACAAAGTACGGAGCAGGGTCTGGGGCTGTGAAGTGGGAGGAGGAGCCTTACCGGTGTGGTCAAGGAGGACTTCATGGAGGAGGTGCCAGTCCCCAAGCCACTCCATGAGTTTGGATTTCGGCCAATAGGAAGGTGGCAAGAGAGTATCATGGTCAAGGTCTTGCTTTAGGTGGCCAGCTCTGGCCAGGCTGGGAGGAAGCCAGGTGGCTGGAGGCTGACAAGACTGGAGGCCTTGGCCAGGGGCGAGGGACTGGGCCTGGGCCCTGTGGGGATGCACTGGAGTGGCTGCCACTCTGCCACTGCTTGCGCTTGCCCCACCTCATGGCTGTTAGTCGGGGGCAGAGGAACTCAGAACAGGACCCATCTCTGGCAGTGGAGCCTGTCTGGACAAAGTGCCACTCGCCATGCCAGGGGCTGGGGAGGGAGCTGAGGTGGCCAGAGTGGGACTTGCAGGGTTTGAGGGCCCCGTGGCATCCACATGCCTCCAGGCCCACCCTCCTCCTTGAGGGAGCAGCCCAGGCTCCCCTCCTCACTGCAGCATCTGGAGCTGCACAGAGAGGCTGCCCTGCTGGGGGCGCCCAGACCTGATGCCTCCCCACCTCTTCCCCCACAGGGAACATCATCGGCTCGGGCATCTTCATCTCCCCCAAGGGGGTCCTAGAGCACTGTGGCTCCGTGGGTCTGGCCCTCTTCGTCTGGGTCCTGGGTGGGGGCATCACTGCCTTGGGCTCCCTGTGCTACGCGGAGCTGGGACTCGCCATCCCCAAGTCTGGCGGGGACTACGCCTATGTCACCGAGATCTTCGGGGGCCTGGCTGGGTGAGTGTGGGGCACCGGCAGCTGTGGGGTGGTGACAGCCTCTCCAGAACGGATGGCCAGCTGGGCCCAGGACCCCATTGTCCTCCTCTGCTCCTCACATTGCAGGGAGGCCATGGGACTAGGTGGAGGGAAGGGGAGGTGTCGGCAGCCTTCTAAGGCCGGGGTTGGTGGGACCAATGCCCACCCTGCTCCAGCTGGCCCCTTGACCTCTCTGTGCTTCCTTTTAAATAGAGCTCCTCTAAGCCCCACTCCCCACCCAGGTGCTTATGGGTGGGGAGGACCTTACTATGGAAACCTCTCTAGATCATGCCAACATCCAGTCAGGGACACCTTGATGTTAGTAAACTAAATGCAGGGTGGGGGGGGGTGCATGATAGTCCTATCAACGCCCTGCAAGACGTTCCCTTTAAATAGCTCCCGATGTTCCTTTATTCACGTGAACGTTAGCTGAGCACCTACTGTGTGCCGAGGGCCAGGACGCAATGATACAAAGATCCATCCCGGGCCTCAGGTTGCTGACAGTGCAGAAGGGAAATGATCCTTCAAATGTGATTAAGACCAGGAGGATCCTTGCTTTTTTTTTTTTTTTGCTGTACGCGGGCCTCTCACTCTTGTGGCCTCTCCCGTTGCGGAGCACAGGCTCTGGACGCGCAGGCTCAGCAGCCATGGCTCACGGGCCTAGCCGCTCCGCGGCATGTGGGATCTTCCCAGACCGGGGTACGAACCCGTGTACCCTGCATCGGCAGGCAGACTCTCTACCACTGTGCCACCAGGGAAGCCCAGGAGGATCCTTGCTTTGAAGATATGTGAGAGGCTGCAGCCCAGCAGCCAAGAGAACAGGGTGCCCACCACCCAGAGAAGACTCCCAGAAAAAACCACATTTGTGCCAAGGCTTGGGGAAGGGTGGGGTTTTGTTGGCCGACCAGGAGGGGTAGCACATACGGAGGGTGGTGGCCTGGGCGAGCTTGGTCTGTCTGCCACGGCCACAGGTGAGGTCAGATCCATCGTAGACGCCAGGGCTTGTCGGGGACGGGGCAGCCTGTAGGTGGAGGGCCATCAAAGCTATTGCAGCTATCCAGCTGAGCCATGCTGAGGGCCAGAACAAAGGTACAGGAAGATTCCAGAACCACTTAGGAGTCTAAATTGGGAGGACGTGGTGGCCAGTGTGGCATGAAGGAGAGGCTTGGAGAGACTCCATAGATGGTGGTTCCCGGGATGGGGAGAGGGAGATTTTAGGTTGGGGTCTAACGCATAGGTGGGGTCGGTGGTATGTCCGGGGAGACGCTGAGTCAGGCCTTGGGTCGGGGATCTGGAGCGCAGACGAAAGGTCTAGGCTGAAGTATTTAAAGTTTGGTTCTGAGGGATGTGGTCAGGGGCCTTTAACAGGGCAGCGGGGGATGGGGCCCTGCTGTTCTCCTCTGGGGAGAGGGTCCTCAAAGGGGCCTGGGACCCGAGAAAGCAGAAGAATTTTGCTGTGTGGCAGAAAACTCAAGAAGATGGAAGGGAGAGGAGGACCCGAGACCCACCCCAAGTGCACCCAGCATCGAGGGTGGGCAGCGGGGAGCACCCAGTATGGGAGGAGGGTCATGGAGCTAGGACGTCCCAGAAGCCAAAGAGGGAGAGGTGGTGCAAAGCAAGAGGTAAGGAAGCAGGGCTACAGAGCAAAGGTGAGGACCAAGAGGAAGCCACTGAGCTTGGTGTCCCCGGATGAGGCAATCCGTACCCTCAGGGTGGGACGGACAGGGGACTAGGACCACCCCCACGGACAGGCACTCCCCTGGGTGCAGACGGAGCCCCCAGGAACAGGTCGGGCCTCACTCCCACGTGGGCACCCTGCAGAGGTGAGATTCTGGCAGATGGGCTATAAATCCCTGTCACCCCAGCCAGGGGTCTTTGCAAGGTCCGGTCCCTCGGGGATCACAGCTCAGAGTCAGCCACCTGCAGCCACAGGGCTCTGCTGAGAACTACAGCTGGAGCTGTGACTGGAGGTCCCGGGACAGCCCACCCCAGCTCAGGAGCAGCCTGTGACCGGGGACGAGGTGGCCATTAGAAAAGTGCTTGGTTCCCGAGTCTCTCTCCACACCTGCCCAAGGGCAGCCCGTAGCTGTTTGCGCTGAACGCTGTCTCTGTTGAAACAGTTCATAAATAGAGCAGAGACCTCAACAAGGTTGGCCCTGCCTCCCTGGACCAAAGCTGGTATCTGGCCCCCACAGCAGCTCTGGGTGCCGGGGCCCAGGGTGCAGCCCCACTCCACATATCTAGGCCCCCTTGGCTGGGAGGGTGCCGGGAGGCCCGAGCCACCCGGGCCCTCACTCCTTCCAGCTTCCTGCTGCTCTGGAGCGCCGTCCTCATCATGTACCCCACCAGCCTGGCCGTCATCTCCATGACCTTCTCCAACTGCGTGCTGCAGCCCGTGTCCCCCAGCTGCGTCCCCCCGGCCGCCGCCTCCCGTGCGCTCTCCATGGCCTGCCTTAGTGAGTGTCCACCGTGGGCCGGGCTGCGCGTCTGTCCCCAGGGCCCACCCTGCTCCCTGCCCCCGCGGGGGGACTTTTGGGGGAGGTCCCTCCAGCTGTCAGTCCCCGTGAAGTCGGCCTCAGGGGTTGGGCTTCTGGCACTCCAGGAGCTGCAGGGGACACCGCCCTCCTGCAGCCCGGGCTGGCCTTGGCTGTGGCCCACCTCGAGGGGCTTGGCCTCGGGTGCCCGCCCACCCAGCCACCCGCCCCTCCTCCTCAGTGCTCCTGACGTGGGTGAACAGCTCGAGCGTGCGCTGGGCCACGCGCATCCAGGATGTGTTCACCGGTGGGAAGCTGCTGGCCCTGTCGCTCATCATTGGCGTGGGCTTTGTCCAGATCTTCCAAGGTAGCGCCGGGCTGTGGGGGGCGGCGCTGGGCACAGGGCCAGGGAGACGACGCTGACCCTTGACCTCCGGACCCCCAGGACACTTCGAGGAGCTGAGGCCCAGCAACGCCTTCGACTTCTGGATGACGCCGTCCCTGGGTCACCTGGCCCTGGCCTTCCTCCAGGGCTCCTTTGCCTTCAGCGGCTGGAACTTCCTCAACTATGTCACCGAGGAGCTGGTGGACCCTCGAAAGTGAGCGGGGCTCCGGCCAGGCCCTGGGAAGGGGTGTGGCGTGGGGTGGGAGAGGCGGCCTCCCCACACAGAGCCGCTGTCACCTCTGGCTGGCCTGGTCATCTGCCTGACCGCACTGCTACCCACCGGGAACGGCTCTGGAAAGGCAGCCGGGGCGCTTGTGTTCCAGCCTGACCCTGTTCTCTATGGCTGTGGATGAGTCACGGCCCCTTGCTGGGCCTCAGAAACACTGAGTATCATTGTCTCGCTGTAAATGGATCCAGCTATTTGCATTTGGCCAAAAATTACACATGTGCACACAACATGGTCCCTAAAAATGAAGCCAATGGCTCCCTCTGATGCTCAGCTGGGACCTTGACAGTGAACAGTTACAGCTGGAGCTGGGGCTGATGGGAGTCCCAGGGGACCCTGGTCTGTGGACTGAGCTCTAAGGGCGCTTTGAGGATTTTCAAGTCTGATTTTGGCTGTATGCAATGTCCCAGACATTAGATCCGCCCCCCCTCCCCAGGATATGAGTGGCCCCTTCTCCATCTGCCCTTCCTCCCACCAGCTTGTGCCAAGGCTGGGCTGGGGATTAGAGGGGAGACGGACAGCAGTGCTGCCCCCTTCGCTGCCCCAAGGCCCCCAGCAGACCCAGGCGATGGAGGCTCAAAGCTGCTCCCATTGCTGGGTCCCCTGCCACTCCCCACCACCCTGAGGCCCCGTCCCCCAGCGCCGCAAGGGCTGATGCTGACACACTGCACCACTGTCCCCAGGAACCTGCCTCGTGCCATCTTCATCTCCATCCCCCTGGTGACCTTCGTGTACACCTTCACCAATGTCGCCTACTTCACTGCCATGTCCCCCCAGGAGCTGCTGGCCTCTAACGCAGTGGCCGTGGTGAGTGGGGCCCCGCTTGGTCCTGGCTCCTGCCCGGCCTCCACCCTGCCTCACGCACCCCCTCTCTTCTGTGCCCACCCAGACCTTCGGGGAGAAGCTGCTGGGCTACTTTTCTTGGGTCATGCCCGTCTCCGTGGCACTTTCCACTTTCGGAGGGATCAATGGCTACCTGTTCACCTCCTCCAGGTGACTGGACTGGGAAGAGGGTGGTCAAGGTGAGGCAAGGCAGCTGCCCTGGTGCACACGAGCAGTGCTGGGGGCCAGAGGAAGTGAAGTCCTGCCCGGTGGGGCCCACCTGAAGCTGGGACCATGAACTCCCCGGAAGCAGATGTCTGATCCCAATTGCGAGGAACAGAAAGCAAGAGGGAGGCGGGCTAGATGGGGGGAAGAACTGCCCAGTGGGGCTGCTGGGGCCCAGAGCAGGGAGTCGGAGGTGACAGCTCAAGAGGGCCATCAGGTCTAGACTGAGGTCGGGATCTGGCCAGCAGCGAGGCCCCAGGCTGGGCTCATGGCTCCCACCCACCTCTGTCCCCACCCCCCAGACTGTGCTTCTCTGGAGCCCGAGAGGGACACCTGCCCAGCCTGCTGGCCATGATCCACGTCAGACACTGCACCCCTATCCCTGCCCTCCTCGTCTGCGTAAGTTGGGGGACCCAGGCTCGCAAGGCGGGGAGCCAGGGCCACGCAGCAGCGTGGGTAATGGCAGGGATGAGGCCTGGCCCTGGTGGGGGCGGGAGGGCCGGGCTCGCTGACCTCCTGGCCCCAGTCGGCAGGCCCGGGGCCCCTGCTGCGCTGACAGGAGGCAGGTGGGAGTCAGCCCTCAGCCCAGTCCT